CAGCTCCAAAAGCCGCAACAATCCTCGCCGATGCCCCAGGCTCACCACCCCCAGAACGGAGCTCAGCTCCAGAGCCCCGGAAACACGGCCCCCGGCGTGAACCCCAATGCGGCCCCTGGACCCATCCCCGCGACGACCCCTCTTGTGGTCCGACAGGACGGCAATGGTGTGCAGTGGATCGCTTTCGAGTACTCCCGAGACCGGGTCAAGATGGAGTATACCATTCGCTGCGACGTCGAGTCGGTGAACACTGATGAGCTTTCCCCCGAGTTCAAGCAGGAAAACTGCGTTTACCCCCGAGCCTGCTGCCCCAAGGAGCAGTACCGCGGAAACCGCTTGATGTACGAGACCGATTGCAACCGAGTTGGCTGGGCGCTTGCGCAGCTTAACATTCCCCTCCGAGGCAAGCGAGGACTCATCCAACGCGCCGTCGACAGCTGGCGCAACAGCAACCAGGACCCTCGACTCCGAAGCCGACGAGTGCGCCGCATGGCCAAGATGAACAACCGAAAGCAAGTGCAGGCGTCGCCTCACCCTGGCCCGTCGCACATGCCCGGTCCCGGCGGCCCACCAGGGATGCCCGGCGGTCAAGGCCCCATGGGACCTGGGCCGAACATGGGCAAGCCCGGCCTCGGCAGCATGGGGCAACCGATGCACCACCACCACGCCGGAGGACACCCTGACGGCACCGGTCAGGGTGGAGGGGACGAAGTTGGTATGTTCCACCAGATGTGATTTAAGAACCCTCGCATCTGCGTTTGCACGACTTGCTTTACCTGCGAAACAACCTCAACACATCTCCTTCCCCACCATCAACCATCCTTACCGCACAAACTGCTTTTTTCCGACAAATGCTGTGTTGATTAATTGATACCAAAACTCTTTTCCCTTGTCTACAAAATTTTCCCTTACACACGTTTGTACCCGTGGTCCTGCTTTGTTCTTGCTTTTGCGTCTTAACGTTTGGGAATGGGTTTGTCACCTTTTTTTCTTCTTTTTTTTCGTTGTTAAATAGCACGGGCCGACATCACTTACTGCACCGCCATCTTATACAGCATGCCGCGGTGGCACGAGGGGTCATCAGGAACTCTTTTTTTGTTGGCACAGTTCTGTACATTACCATAAAGTCGCACACAGTTGCTGCTGCTGTTAGTTGTTTGCTTTGCTTCTGGGTTTGCGCGACTCCTAGACGAGTTCAATCTGCCTTCTGGCTCATTAAGTTGCATTGCCGTTGGCTTCCAGTCTGGTTTTCAGACTCTGCACATATTTGGAGCTCAACAGCCCCCGTTTTGTTTGCTTTACTGCTTTGCTTGTTACTCGAGAGCTTCAACTCCCGAGCCCGAGTTTGATCGTGTTTGCATTTGCTGCTGGTTTTTGACCACATCCTCATCTCACTTCACCGCACCACACCACACAAATCACCACTTAGTAAACCGTTGGAGCAGAAATGAGCTAATACGGTGGTATCTAGGCGATGGCGATGCTTACGAGCACCATCACCATCAACCCTCCGCTGCTCAAGCTCCCTCTGGCGCCGGCGATGATGTGAGACCGGCTCATGTATTCGCTGGGTATAACAATCAACCCTACTCCCAGGGTGGACAAATGTCTCACATGGCGCCACATGCCAGCGGCGCAGTTCCTGCTAAGCGCCCCAGCCGGGCTGAACCAGATGAGCCCAACGATCTATTCCCTGATATCCCCGAAGCAAAGAAGCGCAAGTTCATCCTTGTTGAGGACAACGTCCGTGGCTCTCGCCTGCGCGTGCGAGTCACGCTCGAGGGTGTCGACACCAACGAGATCCCCGACAGCTTCCGCAAGGGAGCCAGTGTTTACCCTCGCAGCTACTTCCCCCGTGAGATGCAGAGCCCTCCCCCAAGTGCTACTGGCTCGCGCTTCTTTGGCGATGACCATGATGACGACGGTATTGAGGAGACTGAGGGACGAGATGCTAGCCGTCGTGGTGGTAACCGCAATGGCAAGGCGATGGTCAAGGTCCCCATGGGTGACTCCCAGGGCGAGATCGCCATTCCTCGTATGACGAAGTCTACCCGTGGCAAGGAAGTGCGACTGAATGATCTCGGATATCGCATGGCTTGGCTCCAGAGTCGAGTCTTTGCTGGTAGAACTGTGTTCCTCCAACGGGCTTGTAAGTAAGTGCCTGTACAGCATGCCAGCGGCCAACTAACATCATCTAGTGGACTGCTACCGCAACAAGACGCGATCCGCTATTGAGAGCATCATGCAGGATGTCACGTCTGTTTCGCCTCACTTCGAGACCAGAGTCGGAAAGCGACGTTGGAGCGAGCGAATGCGCCGTGGAGAGAAGGACGACGAGTAATATCACCGACTCCCCACCTGACACGATAATCCGATAATCTCAACCGTCTCTGGGCTCGACATTGCTTTCTTTTTTCGGTACCGGGGATAAAATGTTGCACTTGTCTGATTGTTCATCCTTGTCTTTACGATACCATTCTGCGACGGCGATTAAAAACGCCACTCCTCCTTCTCTCCTTTTGCAGCCTACACGCTGGGGGGCTTGAAATTTTTACTTTGCATGGATCCCGCATCCAAGACGACCGCAATTGCATTTTACTTTTCGTTTCACATCCTGTTGCACCAAGCTTTCGTCTGCTGTTGCTTTGGAGGTTGTCATTGTCTATCATATCGCTTGTGTATATTAAAAATTGGAAGACGGCAGATGTATAGAGAGGAAGAAAGAGCTCTTGGTCGATGACGTTGACGTCGAAAGGTTGGTTAGATTGGGGTGGATTCTTTTCACTGGCTTTGTGTGGTTTGCTGGATTCCCTGACGGAATCGGGACGACCATAACAAGAAGTGAAAGACGCCCAGGAACGTTGCATTGCACATGGTTTGAAAAATGAGTGGAAAGGGGATTGGAAGATGATGATAATGTGGAATTCGCTTGAGACTGTTTAGGTAGTACCCCTTTGTTTTATTTTTGTTTGGTTAACCTGGTTTGGCTGTCGGTAGACAAAGCTGCGTTTCTTCGCTTGCAGAATTTTGGGACTGTTGCAGTTCCTCTTTGCATCTTCGTATGTGTGATGTTTGTAATTTGGCTGTAGTCTATGGTCTCGAGATCACTGCAGGCTGTTGATTGTATGCGCTACAAGCGTTGAGTTTCGATCGTGTCCATAGAAAGGTCCGATGCGAGCATACCGCCCATCTGACAAGGTGGGAACCTGAGGTCGGCTAGAACGCAGGTCGAATGCTTCAATGAGGTCAAGATTCGGCGCTGGCGACAACCCGGTTTTATGGAGCAACTTATAAAGGATGTAATCGTGCCGAATCCCATGAACTGTTCTATGTAGGATCTTGTGTATGAAAGTCCTTAGATGATGCGGGGTGGCGGTGTCGATACCAGGGCCGTGTGTGGACTCGTAAATACATCGGGCTCGTTGAGAGCAGTCAAGGTCAGATAGCTCTATCGGCGTGGCCGGGAATAGAGGGGATGAGTTTGTGTATTCTCATTTCCTCATCCATGTCTGACTGCTTTCGCTTGAGGTATGTTGGGAGATTGTTCGCGGCGCGGTTGTATGCCAGAGAGAAAGCAACGTCGTGGTATATGACGTTTAGCTCGTCAATATTGGTGCTTTGGATATTAAACTGAAGTTCAAGGAGGCGTTCGCTTTGTCCAGGGTTTCGTGGTTCAGGGATCTCGGCAAGACAAGGATGCGCATGAGGAAGGGTCGAGACTTTGTCTGACTTTCGTTCGCAACGGGGCATCTGGCGGAGTTGCGATCTGTTAGTTCCTCAATGGCGAGGACTCAAACATTTGCTGCGGTTTGAATGATAGGGGGAAGTAGCAATGATGGCTGGCTGAAGCAACGTTGGTCTGCATATGGGGATGGCTAATGGCGATATGTTCTCACATGTAGAGTAGCTATGCGTTTGAAGCTGGAGGAGCTCGGCTGTCGTAATCGGTTCGGCAAGGCGCTTCTTCAGGTCTAGATTGAGAGTGATGATGCCGCCAAAAACATCGTTGGAGTGGTTCGCGCCATGTCGAGGAGGGACCACATCAAGAGGGAGGCAGGAACTGAGCCAGGTCTGGGTCTTGGATAATACAACAGTCGTGAGAAGATGCTCGAAGGCGAGGAAGAAGATGACGGAGTCTGTCAGTCTGTCCACGACAAGATATCATTTGAGAAGCAATAAGTGAATCTGGGCTCTGAGCTGCTGATTGACGGGGGATAGATCAACATAAGTAAACGGCCTGGCCGCCTCGTAACTAGAGCGACAGACTCATCACTGGCTGGACTACTACTGGGTCTAAGAAGAGTGAACGGTCCTCGTCAGACTGGAGATGACGTTCACTTGTCGTTTTTAAGTGGACGGGAGACCTCATGCCAGGACATGATCATTTCATCAGTACTCGAGTTATAGAGACTATGGCAAACTAGCACGAGAACGGATGCGAATTGACACTCAAGGCGTTGTTTTTTACATGCTTATGTCTCTTACTGGACGAGTGGCGATGTGATATGGAGCGTCTTGTTGGCTTTGAAGCCCGTTCCGGTTCGCGCTTTAATTATCCACTTTAGGGCTATACTGATCAGACAATAAACCAAGGTTGTGATCGTTGGCTTGCAATTAATCATATTGTCCTCTCATGAACACGATGTGGTTGAAAACGTTTGTTTATTTGAGAGTTGGTTCGGGAAGGTCAAGTAAGCGTGGACCTTTGCAGGATTGCAATGTTAGGTCCAAACGGCCACGATGTACAGCACAGAATATGGAGAAACGGTGTGAAGAAGCGTGAAGCCTTGTGTTCTTCCTGGATTATTTGCGTCTGGGTAGGTAGTTGGGACAATGTCTTTAGCTAAGTAAGGACGATAAATTAAGGAGTAGCTGCTAGTAGATGATGGATGACCATATACCACGTTTGAGTTCATCCAACATGAAGGCAAAACAAAAAGCAGTCCCGCCAACCTTACTACGAGGATGCGTTTTCGGACGAAAAAAAACTCCAAAAGATATGAGGAACAAGAGATTCGAACTCTTAACCTTCAGGATATACCATGTACTGGAATCTGACGCGCTACCGTTGCGCCAGCTCCCCATTGCTTGAACATTTGTCTGTTAGTTTGATTTATATCTGCCTTATCTTGCAAGTCACCCGCCACGATCTGATTTGAGATGGTGAATGAATTTCCAATGAACTACTGGGAATGACATCTGTTCAGGGTTCCCTAGTTGGGGTGAACAAAGTCACATTTTTCTTCTGCACTCCGAAATAAATGGGGACAGCGGAAGTCAATGAGTGGTGACAACCAATTGACCCCGGGGCCCCAGACTCGTAAGGTTAACCCCGGCGCAATAATGCGCAACATAATACATCCATCAGACGTTGATTGGGGGTTCAAAGCCTGGAGCTGACTTTGTTAGAAGCTGGGCAACGAGGGTTTTCTACAGCCTTGACTCGATGTTCAACTCATGGTGAAGAATGCAGGGGCATCGGACTCAACAAGCTCATCGTTCTGACACAACAACTACCTCGATACAACACGCTTCCTGGTAATCAGAGCACGCGGATGCTTGAGAACAAAACTGAGAAAAGAAGCTCTTCCGCCCAGCGAACAAGATGCCAGCTGGATGGACAGCCAAGCCGGGTGTGATGGGGACGGCCAACATGGGGGAACGTCGAACATGGGGGGAACGGCTCCCGCTCCACCCACCAGACGGGAATTGTCGTCCGCATGTCCGCAAATAGGTTGGATTTGGTGGTATCGAGGCCTCAGCTGTGCTGCCCGACCCTGGTCTGCTCCCTGGAATACGGCCCAGCTGTTAGGCGGCCAGGCTGTCACCCCCAATTCCGAGCTGAAAAGCCGAGACACCAACCACTGCGGCCTAGCAAAGGAGGCGCCATGAGGCTCACTCTCTCGACACTTGGTGGCGGCATTGGGTCCATCTCGTAGTGGCCTAGTGATCTTTTTCCCTTGCGTGGCGCTGCCCAAGGATCGTGAACGACTCCTCCTCGTCCCGTCTTCCCCTCCTCCACATACCTCGACGTGCTATAGAATCCAGCACAAACAACCCCAAAGACCTCATTGACGACGAAGACGACGACTACGGCCACGACGACGCCGACCCCGCGACCACTGCGACGGTACCGGCCCTGGCTGCTAGCCTCTCCCGCCCGCAACAATGGCGCACAACCCCTTCAATACTTACAACCCGTTCGCCGGAGCCAACCATCCCCCGCCCCTATTCGCCGAACTCGAAGCCCCCAGCGTTGCACCGCTCCCCACCGGCGCCCACCAAGCTTCCGATGGAGGCACCGTCTTCGAGATGCCCGCCGAGGCCGTTGCCCCCAGGAAGGACGTGCCCCGGCCCGCGACGCAGCAGAGCCCGCCCGAGGCCGCGGACACCGGAACCAACGCCAACCCGTGGCCGTTCTATCTAGAACCGGGCTCCGGTTCGCCGCCGGCCCAGGATGCCGCCGATGGCAAGAACGAAAGCAAGACCGAAGCGCCGACAGGAAAACCCGCACAGCCCTGGCCCTATCACGGCCCCGGGGCACAAGGACAGCACGCCGCCGCGGAGCACCAACCAGTCAAGGAGAGCTCGGGGACATATCACAGCGAGGGCCAGGGCCCGATGGGACAAAGGTACCAGGAGCAAAACTATGCGCGGCCGCAGATCCCTCACGGGACCCGTCCGCCCGCTTCGGCGCCGTCTAGCCCGGACCCGGGCAACCAGCACTTCCTGCCCTATCCCGCGCCGCTCAACCTCGCCCACCGCCCGGCCAAGCCGGCATCGCCTCCCGCGTTCAAGCCGTATGCTCCCCCGGGGGCCCACGACCCCCCGGCCCCTGGGGTCGGCGTGGGCCGCACGCAGTCCCAGTCGACCACGCACTCGACCAACTCCATCTCGTACCAGCCGTACCGACCGCATTCACCGGCCGGGGCTGCTGCTTCTGGGATTGTTGCGACCGGGGGTTCTTCAAGCTCTAGTCCGGCTACGGCTGCGGCTGCGGCTTCTCAGCCGTACTCTACGGGCACGACGACGAACCCATTCTATTCTCCGCCTCCCGCGAACTCTTCGGCGTATCCTCCACCTGCCAAGGCCAACGTTGCCTCCAGACCTCCTACAGCTCCTCCTACAGCTGCTCCCACAGCCACGGCTGGCTCTGTTTCCAACGCTACTCTTGGGTCCGGTCCTCCCTCGGTCACTCCTACTCCTACGACTGCTCCCACCTCACCTGCTCCGCCAGTCCAGAGTACTGTCTCCCCCTTAACCACCCCGTTCCAGCAGCCCGTACAGCCTCATTCTGGACACACTCAACCTTCTCCTTCGTCTGTGACATTGCCTCCCGCCTCGACGCCCTTATCACACCCGGCGACACCAGCTTCAACCACGGCAGTGCCCTTCGCCCAACCTCAGTATGCGTCCACTGTGCCTACCCAGCAGTACGCGCCAGCGAAAGCATCTACGCCAGCCACTTCCACCTCCATGCCGGGTTCGGCGGCCGGAACACCCGCGTATCATTCGGTCCAGCCAGTGTATCCTCAGGCCGGGAACCCCGACTACAACATCCCGCACCCGACGTACGCGCCGGCAGCTAGCCCTCCGGCGCAGATGACGTCGCCATTGCCTCACCACCACACGGGGCCGGCAGCTCTTCAGCAGCAATCGCAGGTTCGGCCCATGACGACGGAGCCGCAATCTGCGTCTTCCTCTCTGCCGCAGTCGCCGCCGCCGCCCTATTCGCAGACCGTTCCCCAAAGGCCCGGGTCGCAACCTCCAGCTGCCGGGAACCCATCGCCGTACCAGCTACCTTCTCAGGGTCAGGGTCTCCCTGGACAGGTATCTTCACCGGGTAATGCTCCTCCCTTAGGCCACACTCCCGCACAAGGCTACGCCCCCTCTCCAAGCTGTGTTACTTCATCAGGCCAACCTCTCCGCCAAGGCCAAGTTCCTTACCAAGGGCAACCTCAGCAAGGTCAGCCTCCTCAACAAGGCCAAACATCTCAACAAGGCCAGGTTCCTTACCAAGGACAGCCTCCTCCCCAGAATCAATCTCCTCTTCAAGGTCAAGCTCCCCACCAAGGCCAACCTCCATACCAAGGTCAGTCTCTGTACCAAGGGCAACCTCAGCAAGGGCAGCCTCCTCAGCAGAACCAATCTCTTCACCAAGGACAACCCCCTCAACAAGGCAATTACTTTCCTCAAGGTCAAGCTCCTCCGCCAGGCCATTATATTCCTCCAGGTAATTATGTGCCTCCCGGTCAAGCTTCCCAGCCCCAGTATCCAACTCAGCCCTCTTATGCCCCCATGTCTCCTTCTGGCCAGTCCATAGACCAGAACCCCTACAACTACACAGGACCTCCTCTACCCCCACGGCCCATGCACCCAAACGAGCAAGCACATGGCACGTATGGGCCTGCGCCTGGCAGCTTTGGCTCCCCTGCTGGCTACAACCCGGCCAACTACCCTCCTCCACCAAAGACATATTACAATCCTCCTCCACCGGCACTCCCAGCGAGACCCTCAACGGGAAAGCTGTTCACGAGCGCCAACGCCAAGAAATGGTTCGATAAGACGAACCAGGTTCTTGAAAGCAAACTGGCACCGATGCTGCAGGGCCCGATAGATTCTAGATATAGGCCTGGGCAAAACCAACAGCAAACCCCTCAGCAGAACCAGCATAATCAACACAATCAGCCAAACCAACAAGCTCAGCAGAACCAGCCGCACCAGTATAACCAGCAAGCGTTCCATGCTCCACATCTGGCACCTCAATTCCAAGGGACTCCGGGCACAGGGCCTCAACCAGGTATGTCTGGGCCGCAGCCAGGCATGCCGGGGCCAAACCAAGGCCATTCTGGGTCGCAGTGGTGGTGAGACAGCACCAATGTATGATAGGGACCTCACGGTTACATTTAGTTTATTCTTCTGGTTTGCAGGCAGTCTCTGGCCACGGATGGGTCCATTGTCATTGTACCAACTAATTACGACAACTGTTCTGCACGTGGTTGGGAAATCTTATAGGGTAAATAACAAGCGAGCATCTGACGGCGCATACGTGGCATTTAAACAGCGACCGCAATGACCATAGCTTAATCCATTTTTAATCGTCTATGCGTGCTCGCGTTATATATGTAATGAATTGTCTTGTGTGGAGATGTGGTTGGCGAGGCTAACACGCTAAGGGCCTGGAACGAGAGACGTTCGTCAAGCTGTGATCGGTTCAGGAGTAAACCAAGGCAATGGCAGAGCTCTCATAGCCCTAACCGGCGGCCCCTGAATTAATGCCAACTTTGAAGAATAAAGAACTCAATCACCGGATCTCGAGCAGATGCATCCGACCTGGGTCACTCAGTTTCAGCCGAAGCTCCAAGCCACATTTCTCAGCCACGCCTCCTAAAGCGCTTGACATGCCTTTTTGACCTTCGATAGTAAAAGTAAAAGCATATTTTCTCGATAAGCGGGTGATGGTAGGGCTCTCAATGTGACATTCTCGGTACTTTGTACTCGTTTGAGCATCTAGACTCTTTAGATAGGCAATGTAGGGAGTACTTGATGTCTTGTGTCACTGCGTCCGAGAGGTGATGAGATGCCGATTGCCGCTGCCGCGGTGCTATTTTGGGGTCACAGGCGACGGGTGCGGGTCTTGAGACTTGGGGGCTGGAACGGGCTGAATCAATAAACCTGGTTGCCTCCACTGGTTAGCTTTCCCGGGCGTCTCATTCGCTTGTCTGGTGCGGGCGGTGCGGGCGGTCTGAATTGGGAAGACGGCTCGCTTTGAGGATGATGGGGAGTTACAGAGTACGGCCTCGTGATTGTCGTGGATGCAAGGGAACGAGGAGAGGTCTGGGATCACAATCCTGCTTTTTTGTGTGTGCTTTAGGCGGGGTGGGACAAGAGAAAAAGGAAAACTGACTACTACGTACGTCAATAGCGGTGATGATTGCAGTCAGCATGAGGCTTCTCCTTGGAGGTGCATCCTCATCTCGACTACGGCGCGGACAGGGCATCGATATGGCTTCTCTTCATTAGACGGGATCAGCGACGGAATCAGCGACGGAATGCGACAATTACTATAATTACCATTTATAA